AGAATTTTCATATAGTATAAAATATACATATTACTATATATACTTTTTTAATAAAATAAAATATTTATTACCTAATCTTTCTTTATTTTTTACAAAACATTTATGTCAAAATTCCTCTATAAAAACATCACTAGAGTTCAAATAATTTTCACCAAACATTTAGAAATCTATTTTGAAAACTAAGATGGGTTCATTTTCTTTATGGTGTATCTTAGGCTTAATACTCATTGTGGGAAGTAGTCATATTGCACATGCTCAAGACTCGCCGGCATATTTCGTTAACACACACAACTTAACAAGAGAAGCAATATTTTAGAATATTACAGATCTTGTTTGGGATAACAAAATTGCCACTTTTGCTCAAAATTATGCTAATCAACGCAAGGATTGTAAAGTGACCCCTTCCAATAGTGGTGTCTATTACGGCGAGAATATTGCAGTAAGCCCTGGTAATATGAGTGGCGTGGAAGCAGTGAACTTGTGGGTGACTGAAAATCCCTACTATAACTTCTATATGAACAAGTGTGAAGGTGGTGAATGTAGTCATTATACCCAACTGGTTTGGTCAAGATCACTATGTGTTGGATGTGCTAAAGTTAAGTGTGATAATGGAGGGACATTCATTAGTTGCAATTATTATCCTGCTGGCAACATTCCAGGAGAAACTCCATTTCCATGATTAGGAGAATCATGATCATTTGATTATGCCTCACGTAAGGTGTTGTAATTGTTCTAAAATATAAAATAATATTTACTTGAATTCATTTTGGTAGTATTTCATAAGTTTTTCCAATTTGTATTCACACACTTATTTCTCCTAAAATATTTTAGATGAGTTCGAACTCATATTAAAGTCTGATGTTAATGATTTAAATATTTATGATGCATAACACTAGAGTTTCTTAATACATTTAGAACATTAGGCCTACCAAAACAAATTATCAAATTGAAAGTAAAAATACTTATCATGCTTATGATAAATTTAGACCAATCCCAAGAAATTTGTAATTGTACGAGTTTAATTGTTACTACGAAATTTGTTGATCATGTTCTGGAAGCAAAGATTGTTGTAATGAAAACATGAAGGCAACATTATTTACATCTCACATATGACAATGTCACTTTCACAAGCCCTTTATGCCTTTTATTCCCTCTAAGGTTCATGAACATCCTTAGACCTTAAAAGATAGATCCATTAGTCCAAAAATTCAAGTTTGCTCAAATTGAACTTCATGCACTTTCTCCAAAATTGCTCAACTTGCACAACACATAACTTTCTCAAATTTTGTCATATGAAGGTGATCTAGTACTTTTTAGAAACCTCAAGATGTCTCCTATTAGTTTCATGTTGATTACTCTTTCATTTTAAATATTTAATTTGATGTAAGTTTCCTTCACAAAAAGTCTCTTTTTCTTGACTTTCAAAATGACCTATAAAGTTTTTGATCATATCTCTCAAATGAGCACTACTACGAAAATGGGCTTTCACAGCGCTTTTTTTTGCCCTTTAAAAGCGCTTAAAAGCGCTGCCGTAGCCAGCGCTGGCGTAGGCTACGAAAGCGCTTTTTTCTGGCCAAAAGCGCTGTCGTAGGTGGACCTATCACAGCGCTTTTTCCTTAAAAAGCGCTTTGATAGGGGGGTCTTTCCCAGCGCTTTTTGAAAAGCGCTTTGATAGGTGTGCTATTTAAAATTTTTTTTTTTTATTTATCAGGCCTTTTACAGCGCTTTTTATGGAAAAAGCGCTTTGATAGGGGGGTCTTTCCCAGCGCTTTATCCATAAAAAGCGCTTTGATAGGGGGTTTCTATTTAATTTTTTTTTTTTATTTATCATGGCTTTTACAGCGCTTTATGGAAAAAGCGCTTTGATAGGGGGGTCTTTCACAGCGCTTTTTCCATAAAAAGCGCTTTGATAGGGGGTTTCTATTTAATTTTTTTTTTTTTTTATTATGGTTTTTACAGCGCTTTATGGAAAAAGCGCTTTGATAGGGGGGTCTTTCACAGCGCTTTTTCCATAAAAAGCGCTTTGGTAGGGGGTTGCTATTTAATTTTTTTTTTATTTATCCTGCCTACGAAAGCGCTTTTTAGCCAAAAGCGCTTTCGTAGCTCATACAAATTTTTTAAAGTGAAACCTATAATTTGAGGTTCCCTGTGCGGCCTGTAATTTTTTTTTGGTCCAATAATTTAACCTGTAATTCAATCCTTATAATATTCACAGAAACCGGTATTATATTAACAGAAACCGGTATACCATATAATACATTTGTAACCATAACTAAATCCTTATATACATATGTAACTAAATCACATACAAAGTATATATACATTTGTAACCATAATTCAATCCTTATATACATTTGTAACCATAACTAAATCATATATAATTACATCGAAAATAATGCTCCACCGACACGGTCTTCATCCTGCAAAGTATGAATATGAACAACACGGTCAATTAAACAAACAATATTAAAGGCTCCAACACAATCAAACTAACACGTACAATAATATTTTATTCATACCCATCAGAATAATCTGTTTTCAACATAAAATTGACATATTTCCTCTTTGACTTCTTCCACTTGAACTTTCGTGTACGACATAGTATAGAGGTCATCAAAGTACTACATAAGAAATTATTACTTCAGTATATGCATGATGTTATTAAATGTAGAAATCATACAAAATTATTCTAAGTTATAAATCCATACCGTGCTTGGAATCTCTACTTGATTTTTATGAAGGATTTCTTTCATAAACCTCAAGCAAAAGTATCCGCAATCTACATCGTTATTCTGTAACGGACACTGCATATAAAAACAGAATATATTTTATAGTTGTCGTGTAATTTTATCAAGTAACATTATTATTATAAGCAACTAATTTTGTACCTGCACTTTGATCCAAGTAATATTTGATGATTTACTCCGGGGTACCTGTGCGTCCCTTTGACTACGAAATATTTGTATTGATCTAAGAAAATAAAAACATATATTTAGATCAATCTCACAGAAATAATTAAATATATAAATATACACGAATAGTTAGAACGATCTCACTTACTGATCAACAGTTTCCTTCATAGCGGGATAGTTAGTCCATTCCCCGTCTACCGAATTCAGAAAGTACACAACTTCTTTAATCGGATCGATAGCCAACAACAACCAGTGTTTTCTAAAAATTTAAGCAACAGTTTAGAAGAAAAGTTTCTACGCAAAATAAACAAAGATATATTAGAATAAATGAAAAACTCACCCCACTGGAACAGTGTTATACGGCAAAATAAACAAGCTATCTGGGTTGCCGACGTAGGCCGTGTATCGATTCACTAAGTACTCCCTAACTGAACCCGGTTCCCTGACAATTGTCGCTCCGCTGACAATATGGGCAGACAAGAAATGGAAGCGTCTTGCCAATACAGTCTCGCGCATTTTTTTATCGTACAACAACCTTAAATAAAAACATATAAACATTAGACTATTTTCATTGAAATGTGTAAATAAATTGTTCAACTAATTAAATGATATATTTATCGGAATACCGGATGTATGCGTGAACATTGCCGATGCCTAATTCACCATGCGTCATAATCTCAGTCATTTCGTCCAATCCTATCGTTTCTTGGCAGTCAAGACCAAAGATATCTGCATCCATAAGGATTGTACGAATACCACCTGACTTCAAATCTGAGGTTTCCAAAAGTACTCCAAGTGTATTCCGATATCGAGGTACAAAAACGCCTCTTCCCCCGCCTCTTCCCCCCTTATGCATTGACTTTTTCGGGGGTGGTCTGCTACGAACAGGCTGGGTCACTTGTTGTGACACTTTCGCAGATACCTAACAATCATATAACTTAGGTAAATTATAAAATCGTTCAGTTTTAAATTCATATCATATAATAAACAATTTAAGTGTACCTCTGGAATTGATGCCATAGACTCGCCGCCTTGCTGCAAAATCTCCTTACCCTTATTAGCGGGTTTTGTAGGAGGCTAATATTAAAAAATAATTAACTTAACGGTTCAGAATTGACATTTGAAATCTAAATGATTCATATTAACGGTTTTAAACTTACCTCATCATCAATGAAAATGAGGTCCAAGGGCCATGCAACAAACGACCCTACCGCGTCTCGCACCGATCTTATATCCAAGGCCACGTCAGGTACCGGTACCAACGCATCGGGATCAATAGGATAATCTACTGATACTCTCAGGTGTCCAGCCGGGATCGGTGTATTATGAATTAAATCTCCCAAAGTGTTGTACACTTTTCCCTTGCCAACAAGGTGATAATCTGATGCCATTACGTATAGTTGGCAAGATGAAATGCCCTAAACCAATATGCATACATATTACTTTTAATTCAATAATAGAAAGAGGTGGAATAAAAATGAGAAACTTGAACAATAGAGATTTATCAATATATTTATAATTACCTCAGGAAATTTATTCTGACGGTTGATACTAGCGTTGTCACTAGTTTCTTTCGCCATTGCCGCATTGCCCTTTTCCCTCATTAATACCTCTTTATCTCTTTCCAATGCATTGACTTTTGCTTGTAATTCCATAAGTACATTCATCAACATTTAACATAAGCTACAAAGCTACAAAGCTTGTTAAGTGTTAATGTTGTTATTTTCGATCTGTATTAATGCATAAATTGTGACTAATTTTGTTTGTTCAGTTCACTTTTGGGCACCTACGTTTAAGTGGGGCATCAGCATTGCCAATATTGCTGATTTTTCAAAACCACCTGACATGATCTCTTATCCTCAACAAATAGGTATGTGCATGCATATATATAACTATATGTAGTGTCATCTTTTGCGAACTTCTAATACGCCCTTTTGCTCATCATTCACCCTTGTGAAAATGTGTATTTCTGAATTCTCTGAAAGGAGCAGACATATGCAAGTGAATGAATTTTGTGGAATTAGTCTAAATGTGTATTTCTGAATTCTCTGAAAGGAACATTGACAACAACTATGCCTATATTTGGTATTAGTCTAAAACCACGGTTGCGCGGTACGATTTGACAGAAGCTAACATGTATTGCTTCAAGGACATATTTATAAAGGCTTGGTTGCGCTAATTTTGAAACATGAATGTGATTCAAACAACATTTAGAGCAAAGTTCAAACAAGCATTGATTTCAAACATGCATGTGATTCAAACAACATTTTGAAGCTAAATTAAAACATACCTTGCAAGATGAAAAGAAAAGATGATGATTCAAACTGGAGGTTCCGATTCCAATATCGGGTTTTCGATCACCAAAGTATTCTTTAAGAGCTTTATTCTTCACAACCAAGCCAGAAGAAGTAAGACAACCAGTGAAGTAGCCACCAATAGCATGCAACTCAGTCCCTATAACATCACCGACACATAGTAATACATTATATTTTCATGCTTCCCTTTAGGCTAACATAATGCTTGCAGTATGAATCTCTTATACAAAGATGATGGCACTCAGATTCACACACATGTAGATATAGAAAAGGAAATTTTGGAGTTTTATGGAGGATTAATGGGTACTAAAGAAGAGAGCCTGAACCACATTGATATTACTGATATGAGGAGGGGTCTCAGCTTACTATGGAGCAGAGGACTATGCTCACTACACATGTGAATGAGCATGAGACTAAAACTGCCCTTAAAGATATAGGTGATTCCTACCGTGAACCATTAACTTTCACTAGCATCATTAATGGTTTTACTAACACAATCTTTTAGCAGTTTTTAACAACATAATCTAACCTCCGTTAACTTTCCCTAGCATCATTAATGGTTTTACTAACACAATCTTTTAGCAGTTTTTAACAACATAATCTAACCTCATTGGCATATTAATTCACTAACTATTCTAACATTCAATTTAACCACTTAACCATTATTCGACTAAAATCCAAGTTACATCTAATTCAGCCTCCCTATGTATTCACTCAAGCCAAATGCAAGTTCAGTAGAACTTATGAAGAAAATCAAAGGGAAAGGGAGGAAAGTGTGAAACCCGAACCTGCTCGTAATGAGACCTGTAGTGCATCATCCACACACCAGCATCATGTGCTTCATGTTACGACCACTATAGACCTTTACATTCATACCAAAAAGCCAAGTCAATACAAGCAATCATGCCAAAGTAGCCTATGTTCACACAAGTTACTCAATACATGAAAAAACATTAACAAGTTACAAAGTTCTGGCCAGAGATTTTTTCCAAACTTTAACTACACATATGATTCATGCCTTGGTTCCACCCTATTTGGTCTTGTGCTTTGAACCTCTTACACCCTTTGTCACACTTCCACAAAACCTGCTCGCCACTATCTTGTCAACGATCCTCACGTTAAACCTTGTTTACAACTTGTAGCCTACTAACAAAACCAGACCCGCAAAATACCTGTATCATAACCAAAACCAATCCAATACCATTGCGTCAGTAAAACAATCAGCTCAATATAGTTCAATAAAACAAAAAAATCAAAACCTAATTCCCAAATTGCCAACATTTCACTTCTAACCGACTGTCAGTTTCATTAACCCCTAGCTAACCTCCATATAACATTAAATCATAACCCATCTAACCTTCAGTTTCTAATCCTGATGACATCTAACATTTCATAAGCAAGAGAAAAGCTCTGAAGGAGGAGTTCGAACACGGCAAACGGAAGGATTGGCGGAGGAATCTTGTCGCATAAGAGAAATATTATAAAAAAATGTTGTTGTCTTTGATTATTGATGGATTTAGTGTTGTTAATGGTGCTGGAAAGTATATGTGAGTGAATGTGATATGCGGGAGAAGAAGAGCTTGTACTGTGCGTTTGAAGAAGAGAAAAGAATGAAATGTTATTTTGATGTTTTAATTTATTAAATTAAAAATAATATAAGCTATAACAGCGCTTTTGAAAGCGCTTTCATAGGGGGGCTTTTACCAGCGCTTTTTAGGGTAAAAGCGCTTTCATAGGTCCAGCTATGCCAGCGCTTTTGAAAGCGCTTTCAAAGGCCATTCTTCCACAGCGCTTTTTAAAAAGCGCCTTCATAACCCTATTATTTCATTTTTATTAATATTTTTATTTGACCTACCACAGCGCTTTTTAAAAAGCGCTTTCGTATCCCCCACCTATGCCAGCGCTTTTAAAAAAGCGCCTTCATAACCCTATTATTTCATTTTTATTAATATTTTTATTTGACCTACCACAGCGCTTTTTAAAAAGCGCTTTCGTATCCCCCACCTATGCCAGCGCTTTTAAAAAAGCGCCTTCATAACCCTATTATTTCATTTTTATTAATATTTTTATTTGACCTACCACAGCGCTTTTTAAAAAGCGCTTTCGTATCCCCCACCTATGCCAGCGCTTTTAAAAAAGCGCCTTCGTAGGTTTCCCTTTTTTTTAATTTTGTTTTTTGTGAAGGCTATGGCAGCGCTTTTTCAATAAGCGCTTTAGTAGAGGCGCTGCAAAAAGCAGTTTTTGGCGTAGTGGAGGCATTTTGGCCTTGAGCTTAGAGAGACAATGTTGTAGAGAATTGAATTTCCTTCAAGATAGGATTTGGTTGAGAAATTTATGTTGAAGTGTGTGAAAGTTGTGCTTGGTAAAATTCCAGTTGACTTCTCCTTAAAAAAACCTGATTTAGTAACTTTTGACTTTTGATGAAACTTGAGTTTTCTTGATGAATCATGATCAACCCTTTGATCAAATGATGAATGTGACTTAAAAATATTTATGTTGACCAAAAATATTGAATTTTGACTGTAGATTGATCAATGTTGAATTTTTACCCAATACAACTGATTTTCACTCGTATGAGTAATTGACTAAGTAAACTTGTGAAGTAAGACCTGAAACCTAGCATGAGAATTCTTTGAAGCTTATGAGGAACTATGAAACCCACTAGAGGCATTAGAAGCTCAATTTCCTTTAAGAAAAACAAAACCCTAGTTGTATGTGAATTTCTTAGAAAAAGGACTTGTCTTATCAATCCTTGAGAAGTCTTGAGCATTTGAAACTTCTATGAGCCTAAGGGAGTGTATTCAATTAATTTGTCTTGGGAATGGGAGGGAAAATTTTGTGGTATAACACACATGCATCATTTTTTTTCAAGAGGCATGCTTGTTAGTTTTGAGGGAGATAGTGACTTCTCCCAAACCTAGATAGGAGTTTGAAATCTTAGAGGACATGCTTTTTGTGTGTTATTGGTCTAGAGGAGGGACCCAATATAAAGTAAAAACCGAATAAAAATAACAGTGATGGGTACCACAAGCATGAATATTTCATTTGAGTTACATTGAGTCATATTGTGTGTATATTTGCAATATGAAATTATGTGAACTATGTGGGATTATTGTATTTTGAGAAATTGTGAATGATAAATGAATACTTGTGAATAGTATGAGTATTTGGGGGATGTTATGTTTTTTAAACATATGAAGTGTGAGAATGTTATTTTTATACATGAATGTTATGTATTATATATTATTATATGATCTCAATAATTATATGAATTCTGACCCTTCTGTTGGAATAATATTTTATACGACATCACTCATGTACTTATATTTAGAGTTGCTTTGGCAAGAATGAAGTTGAAGAAGCTATCTTTATTTTATTTCCGTATTTATTTTGGGTTGAGTCATCATCTGATTATGTAACACTGGATAAACGTTTGGATATATATTTTAAAGATACATTGTATACTCTATATTATTTTATTATCGTTATTTGAATTATGTAGTGAAGTGACTTGTATGCCTAAGTTGATTAAATAAATAAATTTTATTTTGGAAACTTAGATATTATATTCATTTTAATGAAAGTGATCCGCTGCTACATGCTTATGAGAAAGTGATATGAAAATCATGAATTTAATTTAGTGTTATTTAGCATGACAGAAGTTGTTATGTATGAAGTATGTGTGACACTCTTGCTTTTGAAATGCATGTGATATTTACTCAGATTTATGACGTAATATTCTGCAGAGTTTTAGAGAGTATTACATAAAGGAAGTATATCATGAATTTATAATCTGGTAGTGCACCAATGAAAGTGGGCATTTCCACTAGTTTTAGCGTTTACTACTAAATTAAAGTTCTTATTAAACATCGGCAGGAAACTTGTATGAGCGATGTTTGGAGATGGAATCAAAGTCTTAGACCATTACTTTTAATTATTAAGATAATTGTAATTTCCAATTTTTCTCTTAAACAAATTGAACCAGTTTAATACTTCAAAATTGTCGTACGTTTGCGGCCATATCAATATTTATATTTAATCTAATCATCTCAATTAATTCAACTAAAATAATCTAATCATCTCAATTAATTCAACTAAAATAGAGATATTTATGAATATTTCAATTAGTATTTTTTTTAAAAAGAGAGATGTGCAGTAATATTCGAATTATGGTATTTAGTTTGGTGGAATATATTTATATTGATTCAACGTCAACATTTGTGCATATTTCTCTTTTAGTTTAAATATTCATGTTTGTCATTAAACATTGTAGTTTCTCAAAAATAAAGATCTTCTATAATTGAATATTGGATATGCAATCCCTTTTAATCATTATTTTAGAAATTTGAATTTAAAAACTAAGATGTTTAATTAGTTAATCTATAAAGAATTATAGAGACAACTTATAGTAAATTATTTTGAATATTTTACTGTCTATTTTAGTTTTATTCTCTATAGATTTCACAACTTTATTACACATTGGATTATAATATAATAATATAGGAAAATATTAAAACGACAAATAAAAGAATTTTCATATAGTATAAAATATACATATTACTATATATACTTTTTTAATAAAATAAAATATTTATTACCTAACTTTTCTTTATTTTTTAAAAAACATTTATGTCAAAATTCCTCAATAAAAACATCACTAGAGTTCCAACAATTTTCACCAAACATTTAGAAATCTATTTTTAAAACTAAGATGGGTTCATTTTCTTTATGGTGTATCTTAGGCTTAATACTCATTGTGGGAAGTAGTCATATTGCACATGCTCAAGACTCGCCGACAGATTTCGTGAACACGCACAACTTAGCAAGAGAAGCAATATTTTAGAATATTACAGATCTTGTTTGGGATAACAAAATTGTCGCTTTTGCTCAAAATTATGCTAATCAACTCAAGGATTGTAAAGTGACCCCTTCCGATAGTGGTGGCCGTTACGGCGAGAATATTGCAGTAAGCCCTGGTAATATGAGTGACGTGGAAACAGTGAACTTGTGGGTGGCTGAAAATCCCCACTATAACTTCTATATGAACAAGTGTGAAGGTGGTGAATGTAGTCATTATACCCAAGTGGTTTGGTCAAGATCACTACGTGTTGGATGTGCTAAAGTAAAGTTTGATAATAGAGGGACATTCATTAGTTGCAATTATAATCCTGCTGGCAACATTCCAGGAGAAACTCCATTTCCATGATTAGGAGAATCATGATCATTTGATTATGCCTCATGTAAGGTGTTGTAATTGTTCTAAAATATAAAATAATATTTACTTGAATTCATTTTGGGAATTTTTTTTTGAATAACCATGTATTAAAAAAAATTTCGCAAATAACCACGTTTCAGAAAAAATTACGCAAATAACCATGTTTCAGATGACTCCCCAAAGGAGGAGTCATCTCACTTGGCGCCTACACCCATTATTTAAGGGGAGGCGTCATCTCACTTGGCGCCTAGGTGCTTAGGGCATGCCCTAAGCCAAGTGAGATGGCGCTTTAGTGCAATTCTAGGGCAAATTTCGCGTTTTTTTTCTAGTCCGATGCGTTGCATATTCTATACAGGATCAACAAAATTGACTTTTTATTTTAAAAAAATGATTACATCCATATGTATTACATTAAAAAAACAGATTAAAAAAAACAGATAAATCAGTGATCCCCCGGAACCCGGTAATGACCCCCGGTTCCGCATCCCCGTTCTCGCCTTTCCCGTGCTGGGTGTTGTCACGTTTCCTGCTGTGGCAGGGTCGATGGCCCAGCGAAGTCAATGTGTTCCGGATCCATGAAATCAGTCAGATCTCCATATCTAGAAGATCCGCTTTGGTACAGTCGGTTACCCATACCCTCAAAGTTTGGTCGTGTTGGCAGTGGGTGGGATTCCATAGTGGGTATGTAGCATTGATAGTCTGAGTACGGGGGGTAGAAAGGAAATGGATCTTAGGGTGTTTGGTATTAAGGATGTTGGGTGGTTTGGTGATATTGTGGTTGATGGTAAGTTGGGTTGGTTGGTTTGTAATCTTCCGACATTCCCAGATCAGGGCTAAGGATGGATGTTGAAGTGCCCATATTGGAATATACAGAAGACTGAAATTGTGTGTGGGGTATGCGGGTGTGTTGGTATTGTGATTGGTATTGCGGTTGGGTGTGAGGCATATGGGGGTATTGATACTGAGGTGGTGATTATGGTTGGTTGTGGGGCATTTGGGTGTAATTGTGTTATGGTGGGGACTGTGGCTGGGTGTTTGTGGTTCTATTTCGTCTGGGGGGTTGGTC